AATTGCCGATTTAAGTGAGGATTTCCTCCGTTATCGTTATCCTCTTAGTGTTCAGGTCAGGTTTAATACTTTCAGAAATGGCAAAAATTTTAGGCTTCCTTTCTGTTTGACGCTGGTTTGATTCTTTCCTTCCGTTTTCTTTTTTAATGCAAAAAATCCTTTTAAATGTTTTTCTTATCTCGACCACTTTCCACGCATAAATAGCGGGGTTTAAAAGACTTATTAACGCCGATAAGTTATAAAAACCATTTTGAATGAAAAGTGTCACAAGATTGCTCTTTAACCATGGGCAAATAGCCATCACCAAAAACATCACGTACATTGGAGTACCACAGATGAGAATAGGCAACACAACTGTTATGGTCGATTTCGTTGCTTTCAGATGCATTTGAAATTCCATTTTTCGCCTCTCAGCATCAAGAAATGTTGGCACGATTTTCTGTATTTGATCCAAGGCTTCAAAATATAGAGCAAGGTGACAGGAAAGGGATGCGATAACAACGCTGATCATGATAACACCAAATATACCATCAGCCAGTTGATTGGTGATGAGAACATAGTTACACTCTGTGATGGTTGAATAGTGAGGAAACACACTGACTACAATGATGAACGGATTTATCCAACAGCTAACCATGGCTATCACAAGCGTTTTCGTATTAACGAATTGATGATATTTGTACGGATATTTTACTGAAATAAGCCGAACGACAGATAAAAACATAACTATCAGGAGGGTGGCCGCGGACAGAACTGACACTGTTAAATATCGTAGATAACACTCCAAAGGATTATCATATAAAAAATACACAACGGAATAATGATAAATAAATGTCAAACCTGAAACAATGTCGGATATAACTAAATTATATAACGAGAAACGAAGAGTTTTATCTATACCTTTAGTTTTAGTGATGACTATAAATGTAATTGCGTTGCCGAGAAAGGTGCCAATCCCAAAAATAATTTGGAGAATTGTCACTGATATAGATACCGTTTGTTGGCAGATAATACAAGTGGAATCGTTAGTTGTGTTATTCATCTTGGTTCCTGATCAGCAAACTCACCTCTTGACACTAAAATTAATATTTCAAAAATGATACCAATACCATAAAGATATATTTGAGAAACTCCACCACTGTGAATAAAAACTTGAGTGCTCTCCAGAAGTAATACACAGTCTAAGCATTATCCAACCTGATATAAAAGTCCCTTAAAATTACAATTCCTTACATTTCAGTGGAAGCATTTCGCTTTCTTTCCAACACTGTTTTGTTACACAGCCAAACACTGCATAAAGCGCCCCTTCTTGTAATTTCCTAAACATTTCGCAAAGCGACCTTTCTGGTTAACCTTTCGCAAACCACCATTTCATTCATCTGATAGTCACGGTTCATTTACCTGAACAACGAAGGTTGTATTTCTGTTGTTGCCTCACTGTGGTAGTAAATATTTAATGTCAGTCTTCACAGTCTCATTGCCTAATCACTAACTGTTAAACTTGCTTCTGTTACAGTTGTATGACCCAGGTAATCCAGATATACTATACAATATATATTATAATTAACGATATTTAAGGTGAAAATTGAAAGTCAGATTAAATTAATACTTATGACAATTTATTAACGACATTCACCGATTCTAACCCTGGATTACAACCTACATTTAAAGGAAAACTACCTCTTAGAATGGACATAACATTTAAAATCTCAAACTTGGCCAATTAGTGAATAATATTCATAAGTTGGACCTACCAGGTGCCCTGACTCAAGAATAGAATCTCTATATAAGACGATATATCCATTAAACTAAATAATTTTTGAAAAACGCTTAATTTATTGAATTTTAGAGGGATTCTGTCGTGTAGTTTTAAAACCAGTTAAGTCCACTGACGATCAGAGAGTCATTTTGGCCAAGTTTCATATTTTCAATTTTTTGATCATCGCGGTAGGTAAACATCTGTATCTATTGCAGCCTCTGGATGCTATTTGGACAGATGTCACCTGGTGTAGAGACAGCAAAAAAAAACTGTTAACTGTTAAATGGGACTTTCCGCATTTCTGCAGTGCGTGCTTTTTAAACTTATATAGATACCTCGGATCAGGCTTACAATCATTTCTACCTTCACCATTTATGTCACGTCTCTGTTTCAATGAAGTTTGTTTTAAAACGAAACTGATCTTGCATCAGCCATCTAAAACTGCGTGCGCATCCAAAAGTTCAAAGATCACAGAGTCACGTAATACTTACAAAACGAAAGTTACAGTGATGCCCAACACTTATTTACATTCACCATAAAGGTAATTTGATATTATGCTAGAATAAACGCATCTTCGGTGATGTGGAATATCCCCATTTAACAGGGTATGTTTTATCGGACTCCAATCGACAACTGTTCAATCGACAACTGTCAAAATATCCACCAGAGGCTGGAATAGAAGCAGATGTTTCGTACTACCTAAGAGGTAGTATACTTTTAATAAGTAGGCCTATTATGAAGTAAAATGAATACTTTTGTTCGCTTTGATACGATATTCTATTATTAACGTATTATTAATATAACTAACAATAGGGCTTTGATTTGAAACAAGGCGAAGCTCGGTATTGCTTAATTGCTTTTTTCTAAGCCAGATTAATGGCAATGGGCGACCAATTTCTGCATTTGCCTGTTGATTACTACCGAAATAGTTCAGGTCTTGGCTGATTTATGGCAAGGCATATAGTGTGATGATGTTGAGCTGTTGTTAAATGTTCCTGTCTTACTCTGTGTATTCCTGCGATCACCTGCGCGCTTGCTCAAACTCATTAATAACATGTGAGTTGCGAACTAATGACCACTATTTTATTATATTCGCAACTGGTGATCGTTATTGTGTGAGGACACCTTTACTCTAGGCTACGTGTATCTGCAATCACCTGGGTATTTGCTGTGTACCTGAAATCTATCAATCAAACTTATAAATTACATTTTCTTTCGACTTGACATTCTGAACGAGGAACTGACCCTTCTTTGGCTCCGCCGCTGAATTGAGCTAATGGTTTAGGGTACTAATTATTAATAAGGACAATCTGACACATTAGTTTATCAACACATTTCATAACCCTTTTGTGTTAAACTCGATAACAAATGAATTTATTAGAAAGAAGTGAGGGTACAATTGGGTTTGCAAAGTGGGGGCAAATGCGCTCTCGGTATCTCCACTAGCGCTGCCATCGCTTATTGGATTGAATCAAAAAGTCTTCTCCAACAATAGAATATACACATTTGCCGATTGAAAATTGTGTTAAAACAAATTTAATCCAAGCATCAGAGTAGAAAAACATACGAAAGTTAGTCTGAAAAATCCATAAATAATACATTGAATTCCATCAAAACACAAAATATAATCATAATCAATGAAAAATATGTAGAAAGTCTAGCACAATCAATGATACATTAAAAAAAAAATACAGATATAATCAATGAAAATATGAAAGTAATATGCTTTGCGGGAATTTTTATGTCATTAAAACGGCATTTGTTTACCCGGAAGATTATAAAATAACCATGTTTTCATGTAATTACTGATTTTTTTTTAAAAACCGAAACAGATGCAAAAAAAAAATCGTCATTTGCGGCTCAACTTTCTCCTATAGTTAAAATTACCTATTCGCACGCTACTTGATTATACAGTTATGGTCAAAATATAGTCTAATAATTCCCATATTATAATGATAGCAGGCAACGTTTAAAGGGAACAGTCGGCATTATCGGTGGATTGATTTGGGTCTTTATTGTGCTTTACTAGTTTTACGAAGTATACTAAAACACACGAAAATCGCACAATTCCTTTAAATATACCTCAAACTAGAAATTTCACTGTCTATTCCTATATATGTGTTTTCTATATATGGCATAGTTTCACTAAAATTCGAGTCGAATTTTTAACTTTCAAACGTGAATAATTATGGATACACATGGATTTGAAAACTCAAATTTCGAATTTGAGCTGTGTACACTATTACTGATTATTCCTGTTTCTGAGACTAAGGTACGATTGGTCGAACAGAGAGTGAAGGTGCACCTCTAATAAAGGGCCAATTTCGCCATCCGTTTGACCAATCGTACCTTTATAGTCTCAGTAAAGCGAATTTTTTGGCTAAGTTTGTTAGTAATAGTGTTTACAGCTTACCGACTAATGTTCAGAATCCGCATATGAAAAATATTATTACGACTCGGATCATGACTAACGCCTGGTAATAATAACCAGTCCACTTGTATTATAATATATCTCAATTAGTTAAATCTTTCAATCATCAGTAACTTAGCCTAGGCTATTCATTACAATTAATTATGTCCATTAAACAGTACAGACACTGCTGCTAGTAATGTATCAATTATAAATAGTTTTCTATATCATAATATCATGAAATGGGTCTTTAGGACTGATTTCCTCATTTGTTTAATGATGTCAGACAACGTCAGTCAGTAGGAAATAGATGAAACTTTGACAGGGCAGCATTAAATACATTCTATTTTTCCCAATATTAGAAGTCCTTTGCGTGCACAGGCTGCTACGTAACTAGTCTACCACTAAATAACAGTTGTGTTTGAAACATTTGACCATCAAAATCTGACGTTGCTATAGCCTATCATTGCTTGATAAAGAGAGAGGATAATCGTCGAAACGTCGCAAGTTATTTATTTAAGCAATTGTTATACATATAAATGTTTCCAAAGGGAAACCATTTAAGGAAGAGCAACAGTCCTTACGTTCTAGTCTAGACCTACAGCAATTTCTTTTCTTTTTTGTATGAAGAAGCATCACTTTGTGATCTTGGTCGGTACTCTTTTCGGATTTTTGTTTTATATTAAAGGCTCTGCAAACTCATAAAGTTTGATGAAAAAGTAAAATGTAGAACTTTTCGGACTAAATTTGTACAAGATCAGACTGCAAACAACAAGTAAACGAACGCAACCGTTTTAGAATTACCTCCCTTTACTATTTATTTTGGGAAGTGACGTCAAACAAATATGGATGAAATATTATACCAAAACAAGGACTTTTTTACGCCTTGAAAATCGTAAGTATGGAGATCAATTCCAAATATTAACATACTAGACAACACCTTCATATGATAGTCTAGGCAATGTTTGAGTGTTTAGAGTTGTAACATTCACTAAGTTTTCGTCCAGAAAGGCTAAATCTATGAGATATTTTAGACCTATCCTAACCTTTTTCATTATTCATCCTTTTCTATTTGTCGATGACTGATTCAGTGTCACTTGTCAGTGATAATTGACTCCTTATTATAGCCTCATGACACAAGTAGCAATGGTATGTCCATGTGGCATTAATTTGTACTTAAGGCCTACCACTATAAAAAGTTTAATGGTACCGTTATAGAAATTTCTGGAATGCTGCATTGTTTATATAGAAGAAGTTGTTTTTGATAAATTTTCATGGGTGAAATTTTATATATGTTTTTTTACAAATGGATACTTTTGGTTTCATAACCATGGATACAGTATTACATGATTTCATTTCTTTGTTTTAATATCCTGCAGACTAGCAATTAAATCAGATACCGTACTAATAATTGTCAACTGTAAATTTAGCTAAAAAAAAGAAATTTCCCATATGTATAATTATGAAAACGCTAGCAATAACTTTTTTTTGGTTTTGATGACTGCTTTATTTCATACAAATTAGGTGGTAATACAGCCCAATCTGTAGTAAGATAGATCTATGTCAATAAGTAATAAAGAATTTGTTATATGTATCTAGAATCTAGGCCGATTACACAATCTAGCAAATTAAACTCATGAGTCATTTATGTGTGAAACTGATAGTCAATTTATTATTATTTAGGTTTCTGATGAACTTAAATCGATTTATGGATTACTTTGTCTGTATTTTAAAAATGACCACAATATAAATAAGCTTAGGTAGTTTAACTTCATCATTATATGGGTGATGGATATTTTATGGGTGATGGATATTTTATGGGTGATGGATAAGCTTAAGATATGGCTTGTTTCCAAAACCTTACTTATACTGGTATAATGTAATGTGTAAAGCTGTTTTATGATAATTTATTGAAACACTATTTTAATTCTGTAGATCAAGTGTGAATTGTACATAAGCTTCTTGCTTCGAGTTCCAAACTTGGTGCTTCAGTATGGCATCAAATTGGTCTCAACACAGAGATGGGGAACGAACTTTGAACTCACTAGAAGGTATGTAATCTTGTGTTTATTGAAATCATGAAAGGATCAATTATTGACTATTTAAAGGCTTGATATATTTCAGATTTATTTGATGATCAAATTTTGTCTCTGTCTTAAATAAAACAAAGATCTACTTCCTTGTAAGTCTCAGAAATTATAAATGAATGAATAGATATTATGTTTCTTTTTAAAATTACAGGGTTAGGATCAATTCATTCATGTTTAGATGGTGTTCCTTTTAAAATAGGACCCAAATTCAAACCTCCAGAAAAGGTAAGTTGACTAAAAAGTACTTGGTATTGCTAGAGGCATAAATCTTCCAAATATTATCTATTAGCTCTCCTCATCTGAAATGAAAGTAAAGTTATGAATATTTTAGAAAACTGATGCCATGTTGCATTAGATCTGATTTCCATCATGGCATCTCTGAAGGAAATCTTTCCAATAATTTGTGACTTCTATCAACTACTCTATGTCTTTTCCCTCTATTATTGTTTATGTTGAACTTCTATTTAAGATTCATATACCTCCAGATTTACTGACTCCTAAAAAATGTACATTGTTAGAGGAACAGGTAGGCTACCTTTTTTTTAAAATTTTATTTCTTTATTTAATTTGTTGTTTTGTATTAATACAAAGTACATTTGTCCCTATTATTTATGCATAGTCTGGGTACCAGTATTTTATGAATTTTTCAGGCCTCTTTTATGGCATGAATTTGATAACTATCAACATAATATAGGTATATAAATGATTGGGTTTTTTTTTATGCATGTTTGTGAGAAATACTTCCAAGTTTGAGATTATTGGTATGGAGATAACAATGACTATTTTCTATGTGCTGTCATAAATGTGTTTTCTATTTTTAGTACACTTTTGAAACGGAAGAGGGTGTTTTAGCATGGATTAGAGCAAAAGAGGAAACACATCGAAATCAAAAACTTGATGCTGAGGAGAGGAGAGCTAAGGAATTAGAGGAGTTTACTAGAGCAGCTAAATCAGACTCTAGTGATGATGAGGATGGGGATGACAATTTTACCTTTGACCCTGTGTCTCACAATACAGTGGCTTCTAATATCCCAAAACGACCAGTTATTCCGAACTTTGACAGTATATTGACCCCCACACCCATACAAACCAGTTCTAATCCCACTCTGTTAACAGACAATAACAAGACCACACCTATAGATCTGTCCATGTTTGAAAAAGAAAAGGATGCGTTTGAAAATTTAGATCTACAAGCTATCAATGAAATGGAAGAATTAAAAAATCTCTTTCAAGATACTGGAACATCAGCAGTGAAAAATGATATCACTAGTGGTAGCCAAAGTGAACAAATGAACAGTGACTCTGGTGCTAAGGCTAATAAACCTACAGCTAAACCTAGAAAAACTGAAGGAAAAAATACCGTAGTGTCTGATAATATAGATGATGATGGAGATTATGTAAAACTGCAAGTAGATTTCAGCCAAAATCGTGTTGTTTTTAACAATGATAATAAAGAAAACATTAACATTTCTGAATCTTCAACTGGGGCATCTTACAGTGGACCTTCGAATGCCGGACAGAATAATATATATAAATCTGTTTTACCCCCAATTCATCCAGGACAACAATCTAATTTTAAAACTGATATGGCTCAATCTAGTGTCAAACAAATGATGAATGGACTGAATGGGGTTAATTCACAAACTGCCAACTCATTTAGTGATCAAACAGTTTACTATAACTTACATCCTTCTACCACCTTACAACAAACAACTAATATATCCTGTACAAATAACTCTCAACAAGATTCTGATATCTATGAGAATTTACCGGAGGCTAGATTACGAAGCGCTAGGAGTAATCCTGATCTTAGTGTATCACCAGCCAAAAGAAGTGTTTCACCACGTTTTTCTATGTCACATACACCTCCACCTATTCCTAGTCGACCTGCAGAAAATCCACAATATGAGGTAAGTCAAAATTTTAGATGGAATGGAGTTTTACGTTCTGCTGTAAGGTATTCAATACATTTCACAATGAATGTGACTTTTGCCAACGTACGTAATAATGTGCACTGTATCCTGATATCCTTAATTCATAGCCTGGTCTGAAATCAATCATATATATATGTTTACTGCATTTCAGAATTGGGATTTAAAGAAGAAACCAGTTCCACCTATTCCTCCAGTCAAAACTATATTAAAAACAACAGATACAACAACAGTCAGAACTTCTACACCTCCTGAAACTGATCCCTACCCTACTCTTTCTAAACAAGATCAAATCTTTGTAAATAAATTCTGTTCTATGGGATTTCCACGACCCAGAATATCTCGAGCTGTAGCCAAACTAGGTCAAGATGAGAAACAGGTTGGTAAAAATGAAATATTTTATGAATGTTATTTGTAGTTCATTCAACAATCTTATACATTTGAAATCAACAGTAAAATTGGTAGAATGAGTAGGAGATTTTTGTTTTGGAGTAGAAATAGTTATAATTGAAAACAACTCTATCAAAATTTTAAATCTATATATCCTTGAAATCAATTTAATCAATGATTCAGTTTCCTGTGTTTGTATCTGTCAAGGTCTATTTTTGGAAATGGATGTCAATTTTCTAACATTCTGTCCTGATGTAGGTTTTTATCTGTTATATATATGTATATAGCTCCTATAAGTAAAATGTAATATAATGTGTTATATTGTTTAATTTAGGTTATAGATCATCTATGTTATATTGATAATTTAATTGGTAAAGGTTATAATCCTATGAAATCTGAGTCAGCATTGTTTTTATTTGGTAATGTTGATAAGGTATGTTAACTTTTCTTTACGCAATGCTGGAAGGTTAACAAGACACAACCCTAAATTTACTCCCATGAGCTCTTCTACTTATTCATATTCATTTTCATGTTGATATGAAGTATGCATGTGTGGAAGAGCTCAATGGTGAGTGGATGACTGTCACATTATATTGAGGGTACTTCAGAGTTATATAATGTTCTACATTAAGATATTTGCCTGGTTGCTATAACCTAGATATCCTAAATACTTCGCAGCACAGACTGTATTTTGTAAATTTGCCAAAAAGTCTTTTTAACTAATCAACAATTTGTATTTTGTAGGCATCAAGTTATATTGACAGTTATTCACAGTTTCAAGAACTGGGATTTCATGCTGATAAAATACGCGAAGCTTTGATTAAAACTAACGTAGATAGAGATAAAGCATTGGATGAATTGATGGCCTCCTAGCATTAACCTTGCTAATATGGCATTTCTTTTGAACCAAACAAATGAATATGTGAAGGGTTTACACTTTTAGAGTATGGAGTGAACATTTATAATGGATTTATGTCATCTTGAAACCAAGGATATTGAAACCTTGAAAGTCATGTACTGTACGGCTAGCATTTTCACCCTTTTATTTTTGGATTGATATGTAAACGTTATATAATATATAAGCTTATATATGCAGCTTTGGACTTGTTGATTTCTTAAACTGATATTTTATAGAAGTTTGTCTAAAAAAAAAATACACTGGTTGATGTGACAAAATGTCCAAGGGCTTCATAAATTGTAGACAAACTTGACTTCCAGACTTCGATTTGATCAGTGATCTGGATAACTAAATAGGGCTTATTTTAACTGTCAAGCTAATATTAGGCTAATGTACTCCTTCAAGTTGAATTGATACATTGGTAGTTGGATATGTGGGTATTGTTTAGTTCATTTATGTTAATGGTATGTAATGCTTTCAATATATATATAAAAATATGATATTTATCTGTGTTTTAATACAGCCTAAATCTGTACATCTGTAGAAGCTTATATCATATTTTCAAGAGGGTTTTACATATTTTATATGAAATATTATGATTTGATTGATTGATTGATTGCTAAAAATGATTTTAAATAGTGTTTTATTAACCAACCAGAATGTGGATATTTTTATTTTTAAACTGGGGCCTTTAGCCTTGAAATTGAAGATTTCAGAAATAATAAGAACTTCCATTGACTTGAATCATAATTACAGCATTATTGACCAATCAAGGTGTTGCAACAGGCCTGAAAATTTTAAAGGGATTGTGATGAGGTTTTCTTAACTTTTATGCGTATCGAGAACACTGATATCATCCTTTTGCACCGTTCCAATTACACTTCACTATTCAGCGGTCCTTGTAAATCAACAGCAGCTTTTGTGATAGTGGCGTATATTTAGTGGAATTTCAAGAGCCACAGGCTGAAAATTGTAATGGTGCAAGTTGATGATATCAAATGTCCTTGACACACATAAAAAGTTTTGTGTTTTTGTTTGAAATTAGTCCTTGCTCAAATCAGTATTAGTATGTTGAACGAAGTCCTATTATGTTTGTTAATCATGATTTTTTGTTGTTGTGTGATGATTTCATTTTTACTCTCTTTCAAATGATATTCAAGTGATTTAATTACTAAATAAACGTTATTAGTTATAGGTATGTGGGCACTGCTAAGAGTTGATAAATCCAGTATCTGGCAGAGTGCCTTGTTTGTGTAGCACCAGCAAAACTCAGAAAGGTTCAACCTTTATTTATAGGTAACTGAAAAAGGCTCTATATATATATATATTGACTTCAATGATATTTTATTGACATTGTTAATAAGGGCCATTCCTGGTGAGATTTATTCTGAATCAAGCAGTTTGATTTTTGACAGTGTTTGTGATTTTGTTTTTGTGATAAAATAATCATATGAGATGTAAATTATAATTTTATTTATTTCTTTTACTTGAGGCTCCATTTACCCTTCTTTTTAATATGAGTGGTATCAATCTGACAATGAGTAATCTAGTTGTAAATATTATTGTTTATTTGATGTAAATAATGCTATCTATACATGTAATGTATAATAAAACTCTTTAAGAACAACCAGGCTATGTTATATGGATGTAAGAGGAATTAACTGATAGTAGAAACACCAGCACAGAAACCATAGAGTTAGACTCCACATTATGGTTTTGTTAAAAATTCAGAAATACAGGAAAACCTTGCAATTGTATCAATTCATTTATTCTAGAGCTGCAACGATTCACTGATGAGGTAGTTCCTCTCTCATAGAAATCATGAAGACACAATTTTTGACTTAGAAACCATGGTTCGGTCTTAAGTTCATAAATACAGGGAAATCTTATGATTGTATTTCATTTATATGTCAATTGCTTTGGTTCACCCTTGAGGCTGTGAACTATTTATTTGTGAATTCAAAAAATACTGTTTTTATTCACATTAACATAACAAAACAAATAAAAACTTTTAAATGTCAGAACATAGTGAATTAAGCAAATATATTCCTGCACCAGAGAGTGCATGGAGGTCAATAATGTTTGGTTTAAAGACTTGACATCACTTCAGCATTGAACATATAATTCTATATAAAAATAACTTCTTTGAACACTGCAGGACCAGCAGTTTTTCTCAAGTAACATAGATATGAAACAATTACATTTAAAATAATGTAATAACTAGAAATTAGTTTTGTTTAAAAAAAAATGAAATGAATGGAGTTTTAAGGCCTACTTTTCTGCACTTTATGAGCTAATGAAGATTGGCAACAATATGCAGTGGGCCATGAGGGCAATTTTGCCAAGACAGTGGCATTAGCCAGCTCTTTTTCTAAACCTGTTTCAAACCTTGCAGGTGAAGTTTGCAACTCTGTAACCTAATAAGCATTAAAACTTTTGAAAACAATTATATGGCACCAATGTATAGAATGTCCAGGAATAATATCAGGAAACCACAATAGATGTCATTATTCAGCAGTTTTCACTACTTTCCTTTGCCCTGAAAAATACATTTGAAGGCCCTTTGATTTTACAGTGGAGCCACGTTTGTATGTCAAAAACCGTTAAGCTTTTCTCTAATTACAGGAACCACAGACATCTAATAGACAATCATGCAAATAGAACCTATAAATGCCTCTGGTATACATATTTGCATAAACCACTGGTTATTTATAAATAGTAATTAGAAATTATGACAAGCTTATCTAACCTACCTTCACTTTATCTAATTCCGACTTCAATGAATGAACTTTAGATCTTTCTTTTTCTAGCTCAGCAGTTAATTCAGCTACCTGTGTGATGAATGAACAGAATATTGAAAGTATTGAACACAACTATTGTTCTCACAAACTGAAATGTAAGGTGAACTTACTTCCCAGTAAAAACATATCTACAATAAAACTTCAAATTCTTTGTTGTAACTGTTTATAAATACTGAACCATTATTACTTTGAATCACAAGTACATAGTTATTTGTATGTGTTAGTCATATACCTTAAAATGCGGGGGCATCATTGCATTGAAGCACTCAATAATATTTCTATCAGGATTTATTTGTCTGTATTTATATACAGTGATAGATGAATGTACTGAAGAACTATCAATGTTAGCTTTGTAAATATTATACCTGATCAGTCAGTTCATCTTTAACATGACTTAATTCTTCTACTTGTAATAACACTTCAGTTTTATCTTTCACTGAAAATATACCATAATATAATATAAATACACAACTAACCAATACTTACTTAAAGGTAATGAAAAAAACTTTCCCCATTGCGACTCATTTACAAAAGTGTCCCGTTAACCTTTGAACTCGTTTATATCTTTTTCACTGTATTTTAGCTCAAACAGAAAAGGGCGATTATTGGGACCAATAATTACGTATTTATGAATAGTAGATAGATAACTGAATGCACTTTTGTCACAATTTAAAATTGCCATCAAGACTTCTAAAGGAACCCCTTGTGTTTTGTTGCATGGGTTCCCCCAAGGGATACCGTACTAATTACTCTTGTAGTTCACAGAGCTATCAAAATACAATACTTACTTTCTCCCTCAGCTAAAATAAAACACAACTGTTTGTTTCTCTTCTTCACCTTTTTATGTTCTTCCTGAAAAAGTAATTTAATGAATATTAAATCATAATTTTTGGTAGGAGTTATATCCCTTGAAGTGATAATTTGTTTATGCCAGGGCTAAAAGAATATCAATTGAATTTTTGATTGTTCATAGACAGATTTTTAACAATCAGCCTTTGATTATCCAATGCTATCAAAACTCACCGCTAATTTTTCATACTGTTCTTTTAATTTTGATATTTCATCTGATTTTTCTTCTATTACTGCCTGGTATTTTGATGCCATCACACTTTCTTGTGCATAGTGCTACAAATATAAAACAATAGGACTATCAGTATTGCTAGTACATCATATAACAGGAGAAGGATTCTAAAGTACCAAGAGATATCTAACTGTCTTGTATCAACTTAGAACTCTTTCATTGGGCAAATGATGTTATTAAGTAAGCATTGAAGAAAATTGTGCCATTTTTATTTTTAATTTCCATCGATTAATTAATACCCAATAGTACATGTATATTGACTGAGGTGGATCAAAAAATAAGATGCAAGAGGCATTTTACTCATAGAAGCACCTTATATCATCACATTAAAACATATGGTTTTAATAACCATAAATAACATCTAACAGTAAAATTTATTTATTTCACATGTTGTAGTTTTAACAAATTTAAAAGCAAATTTTACCTTTTTATACTCTTCTTGAATTTTTTCTTTTCGTAGAATTTTACTGACATCATCTTCAACTTTATCAAAATATTTATCATTGGCTTTGTGAGGGGGGATTTTTTTGGTCGGGGTCACTGGGTCAGGGCTTTCACTTTTTTCAGATTCTTTGTGTTCTAAATCAGTTGATTTAAACTCTTCTAAACTCATCACTTTTTTCTTTTTCTTTTTACTTTGATTTGATTCTTCTGCTTTACCATTTTCTGTGGTTTTAACTAATTTTTTAAGCTGCAATGAATTTTTAATATTTAAAATTCATAAACAGATATACAGATAAACAGAAGTTGATTAAGAAGATTGTTCCAGGTGTATAAAAATATATATGACCAACTATAAATACATACATGTTTTTTTTCTTCTATCTCTAGTTTACTCAGCAATAATGCTGCTTCCAAGTCTTTCTCATAAGCTTCCTCTGTGTTCTAAAAGATAATGAATGATAAGCAATGTTGGAACTATATTTTCAAAGTTATTTAGTCATCTGAAAATCACTTAAAATCTAATCAGATTACTGGTTTTACTTTAAATTTTAGTTAAGTGTTCGAGAATAAGGCCCATGATGACATTCTTGCTCCGACATGGCACATCTGTGTTCACATCTCATCCTCTATGATTTTTGCTCCTTTGTTTCATAGAGCAAGCCATGTGACTGGTTCTGTGTTCACATAACATATGTACTGTATCAGATGATAAATATTTGATCTGAATTAGAAAGACATTTTACCTCAGCATCTCGTGAAACCCACTGATTCCATTCTTCAACATTATTAGTATTTTCGTTGACTGAATCATTACTATTTACACTGGATAGATGCTGTCTACCTGTGGCTTGGTCATTGTTATTTTGACCCTGGAAAAGAAAACTCGTAATTCAAGTATTTTACTAAACCTATAAGTATGTTGTTATGCTGTGGACCTGTCTACATACTAAGGCAAATGGAATGCAATAAAAATTCATTCATGAAACAAATGAGAAAAGGGTCAAAGTCTGAGCTCAAAGTGAACACCAAGTAGACCATTGTATCCTTTCCTTTTTTTAAATATCATGTATTGTACTCTTTACTTATTGCAAAATACTGAATCACATTTTCATAATAATGCCATTACTAATAAGAAATACAATGCAAACCTGGTCTTTAGACTTCTTTTTATTTTTCTTGTTTGTCTGTTTGCTTTGTTGTTGTTGCTGATTTTGATTTTGCTGCGGAGGCTTTTTATTCTTTTTTTGCTTGTCAGATTTTTTGTCATCGTTCATTAAAGCTGCAAATCTTGATTCCTGAACGCGTGCCATTGTTGATTAATGCAAAATATGTCAATTCTTGCAAGAATTATTGAAAATTATTTGCAAACGCTTGCAACTCCTGTCGTAAATGGATATTGATGTTTTAGTGCTACTTCGTTATGGGCAGGAAATGGCCTCCAGTTTGATGAATAATGTGGTTATACTAAACACCGAAATGGAGCCCACTAACTAAAAACACCTTTCACGCCTCTGATGTATTTTGGCAACTCGTATAATTTGTAAACGATAAAATTTGAAATTGTGTATGTTTGAACATAGAACTGTATACAGTATATTACAGTTCTATGATTTGAATTTTTAGTCAGGTTTACGTTAGTAGTCCGAAACCACCTTTACTCGAAGGAATGGTTGAGCAATTTGAAGCCCGAAACTAGCACTGACTCCTTAAAGATGGGTGCCCTTAAAATGTTAATACTTATATTAATAGAAAGTCGAGTTGTTCTAATGACTTGGAAAAATACCAGTTTGTCTCATATGTCCACAATTAATTCATAATAAGCTAAATTAGAAGAGATTTACCAGCAGAATTGCAATGTGTGACCGATCAAAAAAGGTCAAAAAGTCTTCTGTTTTTTTTTTGTTTATCCAGACTGTACATACATGGACATTTATGATTGGTTAAAACTCAATAAGAACATAATGATATGATTAAGAATACATGGTTTGCTTAATTTGACATTAAAAGAAGGAAACCCATCTTTAAGTAGCTCAGGATAGCTAATACCTATCATTGACGAATGGTGTCGAATAGATTCAAAATATCTTAACAAGACTTAGTTTCGGAATTTACCCATTTTTTAGTAGCCTACCTGATAAACACCAATGACACGCGTTAATGCGTTGATGAATAAATGAATAAAACAATAATTACATATTATACATGTATCGGTTAAACGATTTTTTAAAGCAGCCAATCCAGATTGGATTATCTTTCTAAATTTTCTGTGCATTTTGTGAATCCCAGCGATCATTTCCTATGTGTTTTAAACGGAACGATCATCAAACAGTACAATCATGTTAGCAATTTTCTTGTGGATGTGAGTCTGGAATGTCATGCATAAGAAACATTCTCGTCAATCGCGTAGGCAGATGAAATGACACATTACACATTATGATACTCCCACAGAAAAATATTGGTTGGGTCCGGAATGCCGAAAAATGCTAGTCGATTGATAATTGTGCGTTTTTGAGACAAGTCGTCCGTTATAAATTCTTAAACACGCCTTAAAAATTTGATATTGATGGTCCCTTTTCTATGATCAGAAGGAGACATATTCAATTCGTTTAATCTTAACCTCAAAATTACATTTTTTAAATTTTTGTGATATTATTGTCAGGAGTAATGCTTTTAGATTGTTATCGTGGTCGCAAATGACTTCAAATTAACCTGGTATCAATCTAATGTAGGTCCATTTATGACTAATGATTTGTCATTGATCATCAGCTAGTCCATTTCAATTAACTTAAAGGCCTATTATATTTTGGTCACTATCATTATTTGACTATCGCGTCCATAATGGCATCTGGTTTGTTAACGATTGAATGGAGGAGTGCTAACAATATGTTGTGTGATTTCTTTTAATGCTTGGTCATCTATTATTTGTACAAAGTGATTCAAAATTCTAAAGGGACTGGTCCGTTATTTATTTCAATTAATGAGAGCATTCTCGCAGGAAACGGCTATATGGTGTGTAGAATACAATGCCATAGACAGAAATCAATATCAAAGGTGTGGGAACGGTGAGTTTATTTACCGTATCTGACGCTAATGTAAGCTTATTTGCATATCATTTGAATACATGCAAATAGGGACGCTTTCTTATACAACTTGGACTTTTGGGGATTATTAGTTTCGTATTTACAATAAAACAGTGCGAATATTTGAAATATACCTATATTATAGCTCTAAAGCGGGATGATTGTTGTAGTTAAAACGTTTCGAAAATCTGAGTATGAGCTATTGAAGTTAATAGATTTCAATTTAAAAAGGATCACCTCCTCTATTAACTTTAATGGAAAAACCAAGAAGAAGGCATGATTTTTTTACAATTCATTTTTTTTGAAGCTGGTGCACACCCCCTTTTTAATAGGACCATCGAAGAGGGCAATCGGCACATTTTACTTGCCATGCGTAAACCAACTTAACTTTCCTATTACAATACTTATTGTACAAATGGCTTTTACATAACAAATAAGAATCGAGTCACAATGTTAGAGACTTGGTAGTATTTTTTATAAATATTGGAATGTAGCAAGGGATTAAAGGAGCAAAGACAATCACATTGGATATAGAACTAGTAAGTAATTTTGTTTACTAAAATATATATTAGCTTTGTAAGTTATTGTAACCGGGTTTGTATCACTGTCAGTAAGACTTTCGTGGTATCATCTTCATCTAGCTTTTAATTGATTAATCTTTAAGTGGAATTTTGGGGGTTAAATCCATTACTAGGAATACAATATTATGGTCTTAGGTGCATGGTGATGAAAATACAGTCTCATAAGAGCACTGGCCTAGGTCACGAAATAAAGATTATCAAGGTAAGGTTAAGATAATTATATAAGTTTTAAATTAATGATAAATATAAATCATAATCCTGAGTTTTATTTACACATCGTTTCAATAATATACGCTGTCATCATCAGATGAAAAATAAAATGATGGCTGCCTAAAATGATGAAGATGACAATGTAAATTGTTGAAACGCTGTGTTTGGAAATGCATGAAAAACAAACGACTGCTTGAGAGTGGTAAAAGGATTTGAATGAAGCGAATCTGTCTATAGATAAAGAGGTCTTGTCCTGCAGGATGAGAAATATCCACAGTGTAGTAATAGAAATTAGGCACTTAAAGGTCTTGTAAAGAGATTTTCTAAATTTTGTGTGTGTATCGGAGACATTAAAAGACATCAATTTGCACTGTTCCAATTTCAGTCATGAGCTTGTGGTTCCTGCAGTTCCACAAAAAAGTGTTTGATGACGTCACTTATCGTAAAATATACTTCCCGTTAAATATATTATTTAACCTGTCTGGTAATAACAGTGCACGACTAATTGAATATCTCTATTGGAGAATATCTATTGGAGAGCATAAAAAGACACGGCATATTCAAACAAACAGTATAGATTTACATGGAGTTTTACATCCCACGTTCTATACCTTATTAAAGAACGTATTATAAACTCGCCTATTAGAGTATAGATCGAATAAACATACATCTTTGTAAACATAGTACATGTTTGAAATGATAATCTAAGGACTGAATTGCGTGTTGATTAATTTCGAATAATAAACTCATTAATTCTGTTTTAGATTCCGCTTGAAAACAATTAGAGCTCGTTCCATGATTGAAAACAGATCAGTTTAGCTAGAATAGTTTCAAATGTTATAAAAATGGTGATTTGGTTGAGACCAGTCTGGATTGTTTTTATTTTTGTGGCTGTAAATAGTAAACATGTACAAGGTAAGTATTCATGTTTTTGTTGTCAACAATATTATAGCAGGAACCGAAATGTGCGTATAAACGGGACTCCTTTGTATATCAAAGCATAGACCACTAAATATAAGATATAAGGGGTTAGCAATGAAATTAATAACTCAGACAGCGGGTATGGATGGGGCTAAATTCACAACATTTGTATTGAAGTGAATGGGCAAGTAAGAAGATTCACTGCGCTGCAGTGAGAAGTATGAACGATTCTTTATAATTTTGCTTCATGTGAGATGCTTTCGATAACCATTGTACTGAATTATGTACTGTAAATGATACATTGGTTGATACAATACAGGTTAAGTTTTCAGTTCTTACTCTAGCCAAACTTATCAGGCCCTACCCAGTCTTGTATGGATGCGAACAGATTTGTCCTTACCGTAATTTTTTACTGGAATTTTCTCTCTGTTAACTATATCTCTTATCGGTGATAAAGGACCGACACTATCGAGATATATTATATTGAGAAGAATACGTCTGGTCGTAGAGTAGAGCCCTGACAGTGAGACCAATCTGGCCCTGTCCGCTTTTACACGATACACGAATGTTTTCTTTTTTTATATCCCCAGCTGAGACAAATACATCTGAAGATTTAGTGGTAGAGTTATTAGATAGGGGATACCAGAAAGATGTCAGACCAAGATGTGGTGTTAACAATAATGATACGGTACATGTCGTAATGGATCTGGCGTTACGTCAAATCATTGAATTGGTGAGCATCTTTTTTTCGATCTTATAACATCACTTCTTCCTGACCATCACTTATGTGATTTTAAATGTTCATCTGTCTGGTCTCAAGGTGCATTTCACCTGCACTGCATTGGCTAAACTAGATACGTGGGGTCTTTTTAACAATTGTATTTTTTCTAATTGGCATGATGGTGGTTTTCTGTAGTTAACTGTAATTGGCATGATGGTGGTTTTCTGTAGTTAACTGTAATTGCCATGGTGGTGGTTTTCTGTAGTTAACTGTAATTGCCATGATGGTGGTTTTCTGTAGTTAACTGTAATTGCCATGATGGTGGTTTTCTGTAATTAACTGTAATGGCCATAATGATGGTTTTCTGTAATTAACTGTAATTGCCATGATGGTGGTTTTTTGTAGTTAACTGTAATTGCCATGATGGTGGTTTTCTTTAATTAACTGTAATGGCCATGATGGTGGTTTTCTGTAATTAACTGTAATTGCCATGATGGTGGTTTTCTGTAATTAACTGTAATTTTCATGATGATGGTTTTCTGTGGTAACTGTAATTGCCATGATGGTGGTTTTTTGTAGTTAACTGTAATTGCCATGATGGTGGGTTTCTGTGGTTAACTGTAATTGCCATGATGGTGGTTTTCTGTGGTTAACTGTAATTGCCATGATGGTGGTTTTCTGTGGTTAACTGTAATTGTCATGATGGTGGTTTTCTGTGGTTAACTGTAATTGCCATGATGGTGGATTTCTGTGGTTAACTGTAATTGCCGTGATGGTGGTTTTCTGTGGTTAACTGTAATTGCCATGATGGTGGTTTTCTGTAGTTAACTGTAATTGCCATGATGGTGGTTTTCTGTGGTTAACTGTAATTGGCATGATGGTGGTTTTCTGTGGTTAACTGTATTAGCCATGATGGTGGTTTCAGTAGTTAACTGTAATTGCCATGATGGTGGTTTTCTTTAATTAACTGTAATGGCCATGATGGTGGTTTTCTGTAATTAACTGTAATTGCCATGATGGTGGATTTCTGTGGTTAACTGTAATTGCCGTGATGATGGTTTTCTGTGGTTAACTGTAATTGCCATGATGGTGGTTTTCTGTAGTTAACTGTAATTGCCATGATGGTGGTTTTCTGTGGTTAACTGTAATTGGCATGATGGTGGTTTTCTGTGGTTAACTGTATTAGCCATGATGGTGGTTTCAGTAGTTAACTGTAATTGCCATTATGGTGGTTTTCTGTGGCAAATTGGAATTAATTTGAAGGAAGGTTTTTTTAGCAACCTGTTTTTGGCATTGACGTAGTGTAGTTTTCAGTAACATATTGTTAATGCTCAGATGGTTTTCTGACTGTATTTGAAATGGGTTTTCTTTTCTACTGTAATTGATAATTGACATGTAGCTTTCTAGCAAATAGGAATTTTTTAGTTTTTTTATCCTTACGTACTTCCTATGATACAGAAACCTTTACAATAGTTCTTGCTATTTACACAATTATCAGGGGGAATTGATCTATGGGAAATAAAAACATAAAAAAGATTATATGCTTTGTCGATAGTCTGATTGGAAATTAAATAATCCACAAAGGATTATTCATCGGCGGAGAGGCAAAGTAAATATTTATCTTGAGCGTTAATTATTTTTTATAGAGCTCTATCATTATTCTCGTGAAATAACAAGCCCTTAAGCGGATGGTTTGCTCTAATGCCCCATTTGAGTATTTATCAAGATGATCTAGTATGATATTTAAAGACCTACATAAAAGAAATTATTGACTCTATTTTGCCTCTATTTAAATCATTCAGTCTGATATTTGATAGTACTGTTGTTATTCGTATCAATAGATGGGGTAGTTCTGATAACAGGCGCAAATCGTTTGAAAATTGTATGCCATGAAGAGCAAAGATATGCCAATCTTTATGGATTAGGGTGGTGGAAAGAAAACAAGTAACTATTCAACAGAAGGCACTGGCACAGGATTAGTGATCACTTATCTTTAAAGTCAGTCAATCTAATAGGAGTTATTTCGTCTCCTTTTTTCTGATATTTTTTCATCTGCATTGCAATCTGATCAGTTTTTTACCACAGTCATGTTCTAATGACGTTAATTTTAACCAATCAAAGCGTGTCGAACCCACAGAAGTCCGTTGAAAATAGACAGTTGTGCAGATATATAATTAACCTTACTATTTGCTATAGGCGTCGACCGGGTTCTGTGTTCTAGGATCTATAGTTCAAATTATCACCAGGCAGCCACTGTAACCTGATCAAGAATAAGTATCACTTAATCAATATTAAGGTTGTTGCAATCCATAATAGAGTGTTTAAATTCTCTGTAGAATTGTTAGCTTAAGTTATATTACATGGTTCTTACACAACAGTCAATAAGGTAGCAGATGGTAGACCATGTCATAAACTTGAATCATAAAAACATAATAATAAATTCTTCACATTTGACACATTTTTAAACCTCAGGTGAGGGATTATATTTATCACGTCTAATCCTTGTCAGATGGTACCAACTTATAATAACCTTTGAAATTTTCTCGTTTGAGCCATCATCTGTTATAGTCTAAAATCGTCATCTGTATTTCAATGACGAATCAACAAACTAGCATAGAAATATATTAAGCATCTTCTTAGAGTCACTAACGAGTCGACATATAATGTAATATGTTTTTTGCATTTTATATTTGTAAAGAGATCTATCCAATTTATTGATATGCTATTAAAAATATGAAAGATCTTCAATTTTTCATGACTGCAAATTTATATTGGTAATCTGTGTTACCTCATTTTAATTTGAAATTTTAGAAGACTCGATTCAGGAACAACAGGTAGTTGATGCATCAATATATTTGGTCTCTCAATCGCCTATATTTTTTGTAATCTTATCGTTCTGTATATTTTCAGGATGAGCCACAACAGATCCTGCATACCAATTGTTGGTTACGAATTGTAAGTTGTTTAACCTCTCATCTAATATACTAATCGTACACTTCCGTGTGATATTTCCCCTGTTGTGCCGACTGGTTTAGCAAGTTCATAATAGGATAAACATTAGATAATTTTCTTATTGATGTATGAAGTATTACACTGCCTTTTGTTCCTGCAAATGTAGATTTGATATTCAACTAAGAACTGATATGATTCCAAGGAACAAAGGAAACCATCTGATTCGGCTATCTAGAAATTTCTCCTCAGCATAAGATATATCCCCTGATCCCCTGACCCATATTCCCCCTTCATTAGTTATCATTTCTTCACATTATTGACTTCTAGACATGGTCAGATTGTCGCCTTGTCTGGAATTCTTCCAATTATCGAGACATTAACAGTATAGTAGTTCCAGCAAAGAAACTCTGGTATCCAGATTTGACTCTGTATGACAGGTGAGTTGTTATTATAATCATCATTATTGATCATCTGAAAATTGGAGTCTCTTAGTGTAAAAACATGCTTACATTATTTGGTCTACGAGCATATTGCATTATAATGCAGAAGAATCAGACAGTTGTTTTCAATCTGAAGTGCCCTGGCTCTATCATATGCAGTTGGTAAAGCAAATATTTAGAGTATCAGGTCCCATGAAGATCATCGTCAGATCTGGATGCTCTTGATAAGCAACTGTGCAGTCAGAAAAGAATAGAAAGAAGTTTCAAACAGCTGTTCCCCTAGGGTAATAGACAGTTCATCAACTGTGGAATCGGTAACTAATGCAATTTAGTTTCAGAAGATGTGCTATTTTCTATCTTATTTAGAATTTTTGCTCTTCATCAAATCTGTAATGTCACTTGTCATGAGTTGATGATGCTGACTGATCCGGCTACTTTTGGATCCAAAATGTTAAGTTTTCGAATTTCCCAACTGTTAAACATATCATTTTCTTTCGGTTCTAAGCAGTGCCGAGGTTTCAAGTCAGAATATACAGAACTATAGAATAGGTTTAACATCAAATGGTGACATACGACAGTATGTACCAGCGGTCCTCGTCAGTTTGTGCAGCATTGACGTTTCAATATTTCCATTTGATGAACAAGTTTGTAACCTTACTTTTGGGATGTGGATGCATAACGGCCTGGACGTAGATATTGCACCGTTACGAAACGCCGACCTGAGTCAATACGTCCAGCACGTGGAATGGAGATTGATCAGTTTTAATTCTGAACGTATCGTGAACGTATTTGTAGACATCCCATATCCGGTAGTGATATACCAGCTAAGGTTACAAAGAAAACCGTTATTTTATGTGATAAACTTGTTGTTTCCATGTGTATTAATATCAACTATAGCCGTATTAGGGTTTATTCTGCCCTCAGACTCAGGTGAGAAAGTGAATCTTGAAGTGACAGTGTTGTTATCTTTGGCTGTGTTTCAACTTATCGTTCTTGACACCATGCCACCATCATCAGAAACACTACCAGTTATCGGTAAGTTCAAGGTTTACCGTCGTCTCTATATACCCCATACTACCTTACGTTCCATTTCCATAACAATAACACATCGTGAATGTTAAGGCTGTTGTCACTTTTATGAGAAGATATCCAAGAGATTTTTCAAAGGTTCCGCAGACCTTAATGCGGTTGTTTCTTTGTTTCTGTTTTGTCTGTAAAGCTCTTCTATCTATTTCAGGACTATATTTTGCCGCAACGATGGTCATGGTGGCCTTATCCTGCTTGATGACAGTTCTGGTTTTAAATATACATTTTAGAGGCAAAACAGAATATCGAGCACCGAAAGTTTTAAGATGTATTATTATTAATGGTTTAGGGAAGGTATTTTGTATACAAACCACGAGCCCAGTGACAGATTCGAATGCATCTAAAAGGGTAATTAGCTTTATTTTCAACTAAGAGGTGGACGATCTACAATCGTTGGCAGATGCATGCTCTTTGCTCTCGTACATCATATTAGACGCTGTTGCCAACGTCATCATTTTAGGTGTCAATCATGTAGTCACTTACGTCATCAAAATGTGTTCAGATAGCGGCATTTACGTCATCCGTAGATTCCGGACCACAGGTATGCGGTGTCGTAGATCATCTAAATCCAGTGATTGATCAGATTCTCCCACGAGATTCTTCTGATTGTCTGAAAATTCTCCCACGTGGCAACAACTGCTTCCAGTCGTTGCTGCCAGATTCTGCCGATTGTCTGATTCCTCCATTGCAGAAGGAGAAATATCCACGATGGTAGGACATGCAGCTAGGCTACGTCAAAAAAGTTTTGTGAAAATCAACAACCGGACTAAATTTAACTTTAATGTCTTACACTTTTACAGTATAACAAAGAAGAGAATGAGTTAGCCAAGGACAATGGAGAAGCCTCAATATTTCAAATTGATATACCTTCCAGAAAACCGAACAAAAGCAATACTGAACAATATTCGAACCACTATCCGTTAAGGATGGAAATTTCATCAGACGCCTTTTCTGAGTTAGTGGAGATTAATGAAAAAATGCTGTCCTCGATGGAATGTATCGGCAATAAATTGTGTGACAGTTCAGACCAAATTAGAAACTCTGATGAATGGTATTTAATGGCAATAATATTGGATCGCTTCTTTTTCTTAATATTCTTAGTGATTTCCATATCTTTAGTTTTCGCCTTTATGTTACGTTATATGATATAAAAGATTTATGAGTTGTATGAATAAATATGTATATTATGTGTGACCTTATCCCATCTCTTAAGAACAGTTGAGTGATTTCCACGACTCCGCCATTCCTAGCCAGTTAGAGTCACTAAGATCTATTCTAAACAACAGATGTGCGCAACACCAGAAATGATGATGTACAAAATCTACATTATATAATCTATGAAAAAGAAAAAATGAGAACCAAAATACGAACATGCAAGAGACAAGCGTCGAACAGGCGTCATAATCTGCAGTGAGCATGAAAATGACTCTACCTGACCTTGCGAAACACTATTGAAGATCAGACACCTTACAAAACGCTCTGCTCTAACAGACAAAACACTCGACAAGGACTGATAAACACTCTATTAGAACATGCGAAATACTACTAGAACACACAAACAGACAAACACTCTACCAGAACAGACAGACACTCTACTAGAACACACAAACTGACAAACACTCTACTAGAACAGACAAACACTCTACTAGAACAGACAAACAGACAAACACTCTGCCAGAACAGACAGACACTCTACTAGAACACACAAACAGACAAACACTCTACTAGAACAGACAAACACTCTACTAGACACAACAGACAAACACTCTACTAGAACACACAAACACTCTACTAAAACAGACAAACACTCTACTAGAACAGACAAAACACTCTACATGCTAAATTACTTGAAGAGACGAAACACTTTACCAGAAGAGACGAAACACTCTACAGGCCAAACCACTAATAGAGGCGAAATGTAAACTAACTAAACATTTGTATGAACAGAAAGTCATTCTAATTCTTTCGGGTCTATTTGAATCGTTTATTCAAGTGTATTTAAAAAAATCAGCAAAATTACCTATGCAAAGATAACAGAAAAAACATCTGTATATTTATCTGCGCTTATCGTTTTGGTCAACTTTACTCTCGAATTGACTAGATGGTCTGAGAGTATTCAAAGCACGCTACTTTCCCTAGAGACCCGAGATAAAGTGAGACATTTTCTTTTATGTGAATTCTGGAAGCATTTAATGTTATTAGGTAATGATATCGCATTTGAGAGCTATTACCAACTGATGCTTGACCTTTGTCAGAAATGCTGTTGCATAGTTGATAATTGATAATGAAAAGCAACCTTGGTTTTACACCCCCGTTGGAATCCCACTTCTGTCTAGCTCTTTCACATCAATTAGTTCGATAAACAATGCGATGAAAATAGATAGCCCTCAATGGACACTGCTGATGGGCAGTCTAGCTGTTTTTTTTAAAACGGTCGGACGCTTGGGCTGAGTGCTGACTCTACAACTTACTCTGTAAGGGTTACCCTCCAAGTCAATGTCTGGTTAGAGCGGAAAATTAAAACATAGATTATCTTATGTACATGTTTGTAGACATTAAGCTCAACTTCAACTATTGATTATAGAATTAATTTTGTACGGTCGGTTAAACTATAATTAAATACATGTAAAGTGATATACATTTCCGTGTCGGCTCCAACAAATCAGTTTTTGATATTAAATATAATATCATAAACGGAAACATGAACTTCCATTAATTCGTTTTGTTAAACTTAAAGTCTTCGTTTTATTGGATAATTCCACCGATCCCATGAATTTCGAGAAAACCCTATGACCATCATATCCCGAATGTGGGTTTTGACAAATTACAAAAGTTCTATTCACTCAAGAAGGTATGACGAATAGAGGTGTTGTTTGAACACGATGGCTTATAACAAGATCAAATTATGCGTCACTTTGTATTTAACTTGAAACAAATATTTGAACGATTTGTTACAACTTTCTAATGGTATCGCGTAGTTAAACATATTGTCTGACACAAGTAATTTCATAACTACACTATTAATTGGAAGATGAATTAAAAGGTTTGAGTAACCGGGTATGATTTTGTGACAGATCGTACAGAGCTTGATTCATTATTTACAAATATCCTGTGATGTGACTAATCCTGTTAGTACCGACTATTCATCAGTGAATAGTACTTAAATTTCTAGTAGAATGGGTTTACTTAAAGGTCCATTATCTTAATTGGAAACTAGTGTATATTTCATATACTAAATGTCTATCACGAAGAAGGGACGGAACTATATAATTAGTAAAGTGTCTAGTTTCATTGAACTTTCAGGCAGGGGGCAATTCCTGAATAGTTTTACCTTAGGCTACTTTTTATAGTATAAGAACCTATTATAAATATCACTGTGTTGTGATGTCGCTTATTAGTAGACAGACAATTAAAAATAAACAAATGAATAAGTTGATTAATTAATATGCAATACAATACAATACAAAACAATACGATACAATAAATTTAAAATTAAACCGAATTATATTAATTTAAACTATAATTTAAAAATCAATTTCAATCTGAATAAATCAATAAATCAATAAATCAATAAAAGAATAAATAATTGAATTGAATGGACAATCAGAATGATAATTGAGGGCAAAATCTTTTTAAATAAAATCTCTTTCAAACGTGAAACGTCAAAATAAAAAATAAATTGTCTCATTTTATTCAGAACAAAACATCATCTAAAACATTGAAACATCATTATTATGACCATTCCCAAGAGTTGATCGAGTTTAGTGGAATTATAGAAATGATATAAAAAGCTTTTGAAATATTAAATGAGAATAATAGGCAATGAATCAATTTAATAATATAATGAACAAATTGATTATTCTATTATTAATTACGTTTCGTCACTAATTTATAGACCAATATGAACTATTCTATTTAAATGGTACTATTCACATGTCCAATGAGAATTATTCAATAACCATTCTGATACTAAAAACTTTTACTATCGGCTTATCTCACTCATATATATAATAATATGATTTAACACTTTACATTGTATAATCACTCCCGATCAAAAGGTACCTATTTAATTACTCATTGTATGTAGAGGGGAGTTTGGGAAACGAGAGTCTAAACATGATGATTAAAAAGGGGGATAAATCACGTCAAAATATACTAAACCTAAATCTGCCAAAGTGATCTCTAAGAAAATTAGAGCAACCCCATCTGTTACATTTCCCATATCTTATTGGAAGATTCAAATCAACGATTCAAATGGACATGGTGCAACGATGGAAATGATATAAGTTTTAACCCGTTCTTTGTATCAGGTGGCATCATGGTTTTTGTATATCCTATCAATATTGCCACACGAAATCATTTACTTGGAGGCGGTGTTTCTGGTCTGAAATGTTGAAAGCTTTACTGTTGATTGCAATCTGGAAAGTCATTCGTATAGCTAATTTAGGTCTCTGTCAGCTGAGAAAGCAAATATTTAGACTATTTATTATCGAAATGTAGTGTAATAGTGACCATTATGATATGTTGTCATTAATTTTTTTTAACGATTTTGACCAAATATGACAAACAGTGTAAAAAAAATCAGCCTTTTTAAATAGAAACTGATTTGAAAGACGGATTTGATACCTTTATAAGTAGGTTACAAATATTTGATATAGAAATTATTAAATGTTAATCAATTAAATCAACAATTATATTTAATGGAAAATAGTGCCCGCTTTGTTTGACTATCCTATAAAAATATAATTAAATAGATCTCGACTTATTAGTTATTGCTTTTTATATATAGAAACAGGAATAAAATGTACAATGTTAGACTTTCAGTATTAATCATTTATCATACCACCCCTTCACAACAGGAAAATAAATAAACGAAAACATATCCCTCACTTAAAACAGATATTTATTTTAGTAAATTTTCAGAAAATCGGTAAATAAACAGACAAATTTGAAAACCAAACTTAAATTAATGTCAACAGCAAGGGATACTTGGCACAATTGCATGAAGATATTTAAAATGTAGAATGAACCTCTCCAAATAAAATACAATATCACCAATGTGTACATAGGCTAAGTTAAAAGTACCTTCAATTTCAATAAGTAAAAAAAATCAGATGAAAAGTGTTTACCATGAGCCAATAATGAAAGTGTTTAAAATGAGTAAAAAAATCAGATGAAAAATGTTAACAATGAGCCAATAATGAACGTGTTTTAAATGAGTAAAGAAAAGTGTTTACAATGACTAAATAATTCAGACTGTCTACAGTGAGTAAATATCGTTGTTACAATATCATGGTTACATTGTCTCTCTATGTGTTATGATTCAATGTTTCGTGGTTATTTCCCCTCTGTATCGTGCTTCTCTTCCCCATTTATCGTGGTTCTTTTCCCTTTATGTCGTGGTTACATTTCCAAATGTATCTTGGTTCCTCTCCCTGTGTATCGTGGTTCTTTTCCCCATGTATCGTGGTTCTTTTCCCTGTGTATCGTGATTACTTTCATGATGTTTAGAAAATTTAGATTAAAACTCCTTTGTGTAAACCAGCTAATGTTCAATTTTTTATATTTTTCAAAACGTAAGTTACGGTATTGTGTTCAATAGTATTTTAGTTTCATTCAATTCTTTCTCATTGATTTTTCTTTTAATCTGCTCCTATTCTTATTAGTTAGTTCAAATATATAAATTACTTATTGTCCTTATTCAATTCCTTTCTTTCTGGTTTTAGCATAAGATTCATATTAATAGTTTTACTTGACAGTAGTATTTGTATCATTTATAATGTGGACGCAAGCTCAGTACGACGATATATTTAATTTCGTCTCATGAACATTACAAATGATCATGGTACAGGGTAGCTACTGAGACATGCGCTTCTGTGTGGTGTATTCGATCCAACACTTCATCAAATGTTGCCTGTAGAGTGGACTTAATGTACGAACCGGACATAGACAAAGGATTACAGGACAATTCAACCACTAGTTTTCTGGTCCAATTTCTGATCAGACACCACCCAGTGTTATAAGATTCTTGCACAATCAACCATATTTCTCCCTAAATCGAAAGGGTAAGCTTTAACAGATCTATAGACACCTTTGATTGGATCTCCAGGCTGAACTTTTTGAACCATTACCGTTTCTGGTTTATTGTCAGATTATTCTTGAACCACATCTTGAAGCTCTGCAATAACCTCCGTCGGTACTCTCTAATTGTCGTGGTAGAGTGACTTTTCCCTCATTGAGTCGGAAATCAACTGGAACAAGACCTGTTGATGTAAATATTGTGCTCTATTTATGATAAATGGAGAGTTATGTTTATTGACAATGTGAATAGAATTATTGATAAAACGTCAGAACAATCGGTGCTGCTGTTATATACCTTAATGCTTAGTAATGTATTGACAATGAAACGTATCATTTATGATTAATGCGGCGGGATTTCAAGAGATTGAATCGAGGGATTTGAAACTCACCACAACTTGTTGATTAATAACCATAAGACCGTTTTCCAGCAGGAGTCCATATATACATAACATATAGGAGTCATTGAAAGTGGAAGTAGGGGTTGGATTGGTTAATTTCCGAGTAAGCTACTGTGTTTATTGTTGTGGTTTTTTAAAATGTAAATGGTGAATTAAAAGCAGAGGATTTGTGTCTGAAACGGCAATGGCGAATATCCACAGATATTTTATGAAAGTCATCGGCCTCTTGGTCTCTTTTCACGGTAAGATCTTTTCCTTTTTATCTACATTCCTCACTTTTTTGCTTAAGAATTAACAGATGGATACTACGATCTTATTTTGTCATGGAAAATGTATTACATGTAGTTTGTTATTTAAAAATGAACATCTGATACCACTCTGCGGCTGGGTTTATCGACAACTTATAGAGTGTTCACACTGACATTGACATTAATCTTGTATTCATGTTAATCATTCAACGATAAGTTTGTACAAATACTTAAAAAAAAAACAAAAATATAATTTCGATGTTTATTGCTTATTTAAAATTTTACGAATTTAGCTCAATATTAGTCTACATCAATTTGATTTTTAACTTTTTATTAATGCTATAATTCAAAACCTTTACATTATAATCCATTCATCCGTCATTTTAAGGTTTTGTAATTCCAGTCCGATATATTATACATATTATATTTGAAGGTTTTATAATTACAGCCCGATATGTCATAATGCATTCACAATATTTTAAGGTTTTATAATCCCAACCAGATATCTTAATATATATATATTATCTTTGAAGGTTTTATAATTCCAGTCCGATATATGATAATGTATATATTATATTTGAAGGTTTTATAATCCCAACCACATATATTAAAATATATATATTATATTTGAAGGTTTTATAATTCCAACCAGATATTTGATAATGTATATATTATATTTGAAGGTTTTATAATTCCAACCAGATATATTAATTAAAATATATATATTATATTTGAAGGTTTTATAATTCCAGTCCGATATTTGATAATGTATATATTATATTTGAAGGTTTTATAATTCCAGTCCGATATTTGATAATGTATATATTATATTTGAAGGTTTTATAATTCTAGTCCGATATATGATAATGTATATATTATATTTGAAGGTTTTATAATTCCAGTCCGATATTTGATAATGTATATATTATATTTGAAGGTTTTATAATTCCAGTCCGATATTTGATAATGTATATATTATATTTGAAGGTTTTATAATTCCAGTCCGATATTTGATAATGTATATATTATATTTGAAGGTTTTATAATTCCAGTCCGATATTTGATAATGTATATATTATATTTGAAGGTTTTATAATTCCAGTCCGATATTTGATAATGTATATATTATATTTGAAGGTTTTATAATTCCAGTCCGATATTTGATAATGTATATATTATATTTGAAGGTTTTATAATTCCAGTCCGATATTTGATAATGTATATATTATATTTGAAGGTTTTATAATTCCAGTCCGATATTTGATAATGTATATATTATATTTGAAGGTTTTATAATTCCAGTCCGATATTTGATAATGTATATATTATATTTGAAGGTTTTATAATTCTAGTCCGATATATGATAATATAGAATATTAAAATATAGATTATATTTGAAGGTTTTATAACTTCAATATGATAAACCAATATCATAAAACATATATACTTATTACTTTGGAAGGTTTTATAAAATATATTGAATATTTTCAATATAATTGAAGCTTTCATAAAAATAATTTCTGCTATTTATCGATATATTCATTATAATTGAAGGTTTATGAATAAAATTGTCAAATATAGTGTTCTTTTTTCAATGGTCAGAAAATATCATATCATAATATATTCGTAATATTTCCAAGTTGTCCCTATAGATCATAACATATTGATTATATTAGAAGGTTTCGTAATAACTCCTATACGGTCTTTTTTTAAATAGTTTAATACAAAAATTATATTCAATTTTTGGTGGAGGCATTATATTATAATAAAATGT